GAATTCGCAATCAACTTCGATGAAGTGAAATGAAAAGCGAAGTCCAATAAACATTAAATCATGGTTTCAATTACACCAAAATGAATGTTTGTTCGTTTCACTTATCCAGTTACTGACAACTTATGATACGGGCACAGGCAGTTTAATGCTTCGTTATACACAAACTTGCATAATTTATATAGACCCTTATTTATAGATGCATATATATATATATATATATATATATATATATATATATATATATATATATATATATATATATATATATATATATATATATATATAGATGTGTGTGTGCGCGTTGGTGCATCAATAAATTCACAGGCTGATACATATGTATCAGCTAAGAATCGTTTTAGGTTCTTATTGTTTAATATTTTATATACGGGTTTAATTTTCAGGCATATATTAAAGCATATATTGAAAAAGTATTAGATTTTTAAAGATATTCGTGTTATTATTTTCGGCTTTAGTTTACTGATATACTGAATTATATATATATATATATATATATATATATATATATATATATATATATATATATATATATAAAAATTAAATAATAAAATAATTAAATTTTCAGTTACCTTGTAAATGAAAATTTAATTATTTTTCTTAATATCTATCTATACATATATATATATATATATATATATATATATATATATATATATATATATATATATATATATATAGGGTGACCAAAAAACAGGAACCATTTAACAATCCAATAAAACCAAGAGTGGTGGAAGAAAAATATTTTACCTTAAACCTTAAAAAATGCCATTTAAGAAACAATGATGGAATTTTCATTTTTTTAAAATTACGTCCTCTAGATTGTATACTCCTGTACGAATGCATGTTGAGATTCCTCATTGGCTGCTGCAACATCTCAGCTGGGATACTGTGAATTTCATCTTGAATTCTCTGTTTTAACTCATCCAGAGTTCTTGGTCAAGTTGTGTAAAATTTCTCTGACCCCAAAAAAACGGATTAGAAAAATAATTCGGCCACTGGTTTGTTTTGTCTATTTATTTTCGAATATTCTTGCCGGTAGATGGAAATAAAGAAATATACTGTCTCATGAATAAATACAAACAGAACATCTACTCAAATATGGGTATCCATTAAAAATAACGTTTATGCAGTAAGTTAAAATATGTCGGATGAAAAATCTATTCCTACAATCTATATATATAAACAGATTAGTACTGCAACAAGATCTTTAAAAAGGGTATCATATTTTATTCATAAAAAATATACAAATGACGATTAAAATTTTAGGTACCTTTCGGGCGACACCTCTTCAGAAAAAATATCGTCGGCAAATAAAACGAAGTGGTTGAATTATTTTCAACAACTAGTGTTAAAATATACCAAAACTAGGGGAGGAAACAAAAAATAATAATATTTTCTTTGTTAGACGTTGAATTGGCGAGCGGTATATTTAAACACCATGTGTAGGCCGAAAGGTACCTAAAATTTTAATCGTCGTGATATTTTCTATCTAATTTTATGAATAATATATATATATATATATATATATATATATATATATATATATACTGGTGTCAGGCGCCCTCAAATAGCACTCACGTTAATAGTACTTGCTAAATAATAGTCGCTCGAATAATAATCCGTATAGTGAATAGTATAGTGAATAAAGAAGGGAATCGCGGTCCTTATAGTAATAGAAAAAAAGTGATCTGAATAGTAATAGAGGATAGACTAGGAATATCGATCATTAGTCGTCAGCTACTTCCTATATATATATATATATGCGTTTCCTCTGTGGTCACGTGGTCTACTTAATTTAATAATGGGATCGCTTGTGTTTCCTCATTGGCGATCTATGTTCAAGCTCAAGTGTCGCCAGAGACACTTTATTCCTATATAACACCATCCTTTTTGAGATGAATTCCTCTGGAATCTATATTTCTTCAGCTTCGGTTAAATATTCAAATGTGTCGTTGCTGTTCTTTTTCTTTTACTGTATCTCGTTGGTTCACTAATTTCTGGTGGCGTGGGTACTTCAAACATGTCATCCAATATTTCCATCGGTACCTCTGCATTTTAACTGCTTAAGGTGTCTGCATTTTAACTGCTTAAGGTGTCGCTTATGTTCCCACCTTTTTCCCTGTACCATGTATGTAATTTTTCCAATCCGTTTTTTATTAACAGCATCTTCTCAGAATTCTTTTCCACGTTGGTACATTTTGAAAAACACGTTTTCACCAGGTTTAAAATATTTATATTATTTTGATTCCTTGATGTCCCCGTTTTCCGTTCTGGTAGTAATTTGCTAAATTTTCACTTAATCTTCCTCCCCAACATCAACTTTGCAGGCAACATTCCAGACATGGTGTTACTATGTAAACACTCAAAAATTGTTGTAGAATTTTTTTCACCTGACTCATCTCCTTCCGATTTTTTAGTGCTCTTTTAAACGTATCGATAAACCGTTCTGCTTGTCCGTTTGACGTTGCGTGATAAGGGGGAGTTGTAATATATTCTATTGCTAATGATTTGCAAAAAAAAAAAAAAAAAACTTAAATTCACAAGGAGTGAATTGAGTCCCGTTATCTGAAACGATAGAATCAGGAACATCGAATCTTGCAAAAGTCTCGTGTAGGAAATTCATTGTTTCCCAGGTAGTCGCTCTTCTACATTTTAATATTTCTGGCCATTTAATGTAACTATCGACTACCACTACATAGTATGCACCGTTTAATGGTCCTGCAAAGTCTATATGTATTCTGGACCATAGCATATCAAATGGTTAATTCTTACGCCCCTTATCAAAATGGTCGCTTCAGCCGTTTCCATAGTAATTAATTTTACGAATACATATGCTTATAAAGATGCGTAAATTTAAAGATTGGTTATTCCTAAATTTTCGCTTGAGGATGAAACAGGGCTTGATACTTTAATTCAATTTAATTTTAATAATTATATTGGGGTTTTTGGATCTTGTTTTGAAACATGAGAACTCTTATGTAGCGAAGGAATCATTTTTTTTTAAATAATTATAATGTAAGCTCTACTTCTTTTTTAAATAAAAACAAAATACTAAAGAACTCCGGATTATTTACCTAACGTGTTCTTTCCTATTTTCTACATATTTGCAGACAGACACACACACACATATATATATATATATATATATATATATATATATATATATATATATATATATATATGCTTCACACCCAAGTGTAATCACATCAACTTAAACATTACTTATTGCGATGAAGTCCTTAATGAGTCACACGAACGTTTTATTCCACTGTCATAGATTTTGATAATATTGTAAATATGTCTAATCTCTTCGCTTCTTTTTACTTTTCTGATAATTGGCTAAACTATATCAACAAAAAGCGTAGACATTTCATGTGCTGAACTCCAGGCCGTCATGTTATTCAGTTTTTTTCTGGCGATAAAAACACAATTTACTTCAAAGAATATCATGGACAAAACATATGAGCAACGTGGAATTCTTAAGGAAAATGTGAGCTACATACAATCAAAAAGATTCATCTGAAATTTCCGGAACACATCAGAAAGAAAGTGAGCCTAAAGAAATTAACATTCACAGGACATATTGAAGGCACGACAAGCAAAGGACACAGCAAGTAAGCTATTTATTGAGTTTGAGTGGTTGATTTGCAGAACACAGACAAAGTAAAAAAAAAATACTTAACAAAAGATAGGAAGTCGTGTACAAACATGGTCGCTTTGGATCTGAAGGAAGAAAACACATAAAAAATAGTAATCTAAGGAATTAAAATATAATATAAAGACGTTATTAGAACTATGGTAATGCTAACGGTAAAATTAACCGTTTCCATTCGGGAAACATCAAGTATTTATTGACCGATCAGTTACCGTTAATGTTAGTTGAAATTTATATATTTTTCTTAAAACATTTTTTCGGAAAATTAGACTTCAAGTTCAATTATAGATCTTAATGGTACTGATGGGAGTTTCTTTACAAACTTTTTGTTTTTGTTTGTGTGGAAGTTAACACATTGATTATAATATTTATTTTCTTTTGTTCTTTGTTGTTGTTTTTTTTCTGCTGTTGAATGTATTCAAATTATATAGTTTTTATTATTTCATAAAATTCTTTGTGATTTCTGTAGTACCAGGGTTTGGTTAAGTGATTTGGTCGTGCAAACAAATGGGATGTGTAAAATCGAAACGTAATCTTGAGAAATATCAACCTCCAAAAAGCATTTGTTACATAAAAGAAGTCTTGATTGAATCTCTTATTTTCCATGGTTAATGACCCCTGCTTTCAAACAACGTAAAACGTCTCTGTCGTCTTCACCTGTTACATTTAGTAACACCTTCTGCTTGGTATTCCAGACAATTCAGACGATTTTCATTTTGTAGTCGTTTATTACGCAGATACGGCTAATTACCGATTATCCAGCAGTTGACCACTGACCATTGTCTGCTCCTTTCCAATGACTGACTCACAAACTTATTTCTTGTCGGCTCACAAAAAAAAACGACGTTTTAAACAAAATTATGGCAACTCCCCATTATTACATGGATACCGGATGACTGCAACAGGGTGTGTCCATTATTGTGAAAGGTCATCTCCCAGCACTTTTCACAGACTCTGCATAAATAAAACGTACAGAAATAAGTCAATAGACAGATCAACATCACGATAAATTCATGAAGATACAGCTTCAAGATGCCTTTTTTTACAGAAAGAGTTAAAAAGCCATTCTTGCCACCATAATAACATCGATCATCACTTGGCATCCGATATTCTTCTTCTTTGTACTGTGTTCCTTCAATATGTGAATGGTTATGGCTCTCCACAACGTCCTCTCCTTTGTATATCTTAGCAATGTTTCTCTTTCTACTACACTTCCACTCTGTTCAGTTACAAAAAGGAGGTTACTCGCTATTTCCCCACTGTATTTCTTACCATTGATATGTCCTGTGAGTGTAATATTTTCAGGGGGACTGATATTGCGTAAAAGGTCAATACTCTTTTCTTTTATTCATTCACTCTTTCTTTCTTTCTTTCTTTCTTTCTTTCTTTCTTTCTTTCTTTCTAATGAAATGTTTCTGTTTTTAATGCTTTCCTTAGCTTTCATAAGGTATCATTCTCTATCCCCATGCATCTTGGGATATCAGTGTTGCACTTCCTGTTCTCTTTTAAAACTCTTCCTTGATAATTAAATTATTGTACTTGCTTCATTTTGTTATCTTCAATTTGCAGTCTTCTCGCTTTCTTTCGCTAACTTCTATAGCGGTTCCTGTTAGTTTCCTTTCTGAGTACGCTATCAACACGCTTACATTAGCATATCTTATGCCGTTAAGACTGTGACTCTCAATAATGAATCGCCTTATTGTACAGGTTGAATAAGTCTGGTGAGAAGTCGCATCCTTGTCTTACACCCTTTCTATTTTTGTATATTTACTGAATTCATTAAGTAGGCGGTTTGCTGCCAATATAATGTTCTGGGTTATTCTATCATCCTTCCCAAATATATTACGTTTATCTCACAGTTTTAACACTTCTATGTTGTGTGCAATGTGATGCTTATGCACGGAATATCATAAGCATCACATTTCTTTTTCCAATATCCTAAACGAACTTGCACTGTTCTTGTCCTATTCCAGTCTAATTCTACTATGCGCACTATTAATCAAAATTTTGGTGACAAGATTTTTTTTATATGAACCATTAGGGTGATTGTCCGATGGAGTTCCCAATAGTGCTATATAAAACAGATATACTAATAAATAAAAAATTAAAATGTTACAGTATTCTAGAGCTTCCTCATATATACCGACTTACTTATAAAAATAAATAGACTAGATATAATAAAGAGAAAAGACTTTAAACATATACATTTTTTCTCATAGTTACGGAAACCGCGTTTGAGTAAAAGAACCAACATAAGTATAAAAAGAAACTTTCAAAAGTTAATGACTTGGACATAGAAATTTTAAGAATGTTTCATTGAAATGTAACCACCAATCCAGTAATAATAGGAGTACTATGAATGTTTAAAAAGTACACAGATGCACTTACAGAAAATACCAGGATACACATCAATGTTTGTAATTCAAAAGATTATGTTCAGAAGCACCCCTCACATACTGAAAAAGCATCTCTCTATGTTATATTCCTAAAAACTTTATTAAAAAAGACTTTCTTTACGTCAGCTCTCACGTAAAGGACACGATAAATGAATGCATCAAACAGCGAATTAGGTTAATGGTAAATAATAATAATAATAATAATAATAATAATAATAATAATATTACAAGGAACTTGAAATAGAAATCTCAAAAATGTGGCATATGGGAACATCATCAATCCCTGTTGTAGTTGGAGCCCTAGGACTGGTTGGAAAAGATTGCAGTAGACTAATTGAAGGGATTCCTGGAAGTCCATGCATCAAAGAGATACAAAAAATTGTTCTGACAAGTACAGCCCACACCTTACGAAGGGCTTTATCTATGTAATATTTTTTTTTTTTTAATGTCAGTGGAAAGTGTCATGATGCCATTTCTAACCTTAGATCCCTGGGTGGGAAAGAAATGTGTAAATAAAAACAATAATAATAATAATAATAATAATCTTTCGACCTTCCTCTGGTTGGTCGGAACAGTTCTTTCGGTAGATGATACAAACTATGGAACGCCAACCCTACATACGTGTGTTTTATGTCGAGACACCATCTCCATAAAGACTGCCATCCAAAGCTAAGGAGTTCTTTCAAACCATGAAGTGAAATCCCGCGCCAGACACCAACTTGGAATGGGAATTTCCACGGATTGCCTTAGAGACTCCATCTCCGGATTTGTCCTTAGAGTTTACTCCTGAATCCTTTCCCGAAATTGGTTATTGGGCAAAACAGCGGAGGTTTAAAATCAGAGTTTGCCTTCTCTAATAACAATAAACGACACCTAAATCGAGTTAGAGACATAAAGAAATGTATCAGTTTTATGGGATTTTCCAGACAGGACAATGAAAGCTAATCACCCATACATCGTGTTCAAAAACCACAAAAACAGAAGTTGCTTTCTTATTGAATGGCTCTTCCTGCAGACTGTAATGTATCTTTAAAGATCTTCAAAAAAAGTATCGAAATACAAGGATTTTGAAGTGGAAATCTCTAAATGTGGCATATGAGGACATCAATAATTCCAGTTATAGTTGGAGTCTTCGAATTGATTGGAAAAGGTTCCTATAGACTCACTGAATTGATTCTTGGTAGCCCATATCTTAAAGAAGTAAAAAAAATGTTCTCACAAGTAAAGTTCATATCTTAGGAAGGGCTTTATCTATGTAAAATATGTGTCGTATTAGGCTGTTTATTTTTTTTTATTTTTTAAAAATCTTCTGTTGAAAATGACATAATGCGATTTCTGAACTTAGGTCTCTGGTCGGGAACAGAAAGGAAATGAATATACGACAAAAAATCAAAAGAAATAATAATAATAATAATTTTTACAACAGAAATCAAGGGAAATAATAATGGTAATAATAATAATTATTATTATTATTACTATTGTTTTTACAACGGAAATCAAGGGAAATAATAATGATGATAATAATAATAATAATTATTATTATTATTATTATTATTACAACAGAAATCAGAGGAAATAATAATAATTTTTACAGCAAAAAATCAAAGGAAATCATAATCATAATAATAATAATAATTTTACAGCAGAAATCAAAGAAAATAATAATAATAATAATAATAATAGTTTTCACAACAGAAATCAAGGAAAATTATAATGATAATTATCATTATAATTATTATTATTATAATTATTATTTTGCAACAGAAATCAAAGGAAATAACAATAATAATAATCATTTTTACAACAGATATCAAAGGAAATAATAATAATAATAATAATAATAATAATTTTTACAACAGAAATCAAAAGAAATAATAATATCTTCGCTTCATGGTTTTAAATGTGTATATGATATAAGTTTTATAGTGAAGATTTTTAGAAAGCTATATACTTTTGATACCCAAATAATTCTTTGATTAATTGTCAATGATTCATAATATTCAAACATGTTGAGCAACAAAACATTCAACTCTCAAGATAATTAGTCATCAAAAAAGTAAAAGGAAGGGAAATGCCGTAATTTAAACAACTTAATTAATCTTTTTTTCTCGAAATGAAAAATTCAACTCGTCATACAGGGATATCAAATTATAGATCTAAAAAATAAATTAAAATAACCCTTACTTGACCTACAGATATTAATTAAATCATATATTGCAATTACAAGAATCTAAATCTTAACTGATCTTAGAAGTGTCAAGACATGGTCATTCATATTTCTTTGTATAAGAAAAGATTAGAAAAAATGAAATATCAAAATATCCTCTAATGTCTTCAACAGTAAAACAGCAGGACACAGTTATGTTATGTGCGAGGGGCCTGCTGTAGAACAATATTTTTGTCAGATTATTATTAATGCAATAATTATCGATCCAAATTGGAGATTCCACTATACTTTACCGATATTGGACTAATCGTAGCTTAGTAAGAATATACAGACACTGAACTTATTCAACGTGTACGTGAGGGGATTTTGTGTTAATTAAATGTCCAACCTGGATTCAATATTGGTGGCAACCATCTTAACAAAGTAATATATGCAGACATCAGCGTTGATAGCAAAGAAAGGAAACTACAAGAACTGCTACAGAAGATAGTGAAGAAAAGCGAGATGAAAGGACTAACCATCAATTGTAAGAAACCAGAATGTATGTTTGTCAGCAAGAGGAAGAAAGTAAAAGAAGTTGAAAGGACTAAACATCAATTGTAATAAAACAGAATGTATGGTTGTCAGCAAGACGAAGAGATCAAGTAAAGAAAGGGAAAAGAAAGGACTTAACATCAATTGTAATAAGCCAGAATGTATGGTTGTCAGCAAGACGAAGAGACCAAGTAAAGAAAAGCGAGATGAAAGGACTAACCATCAATTGTAAGAAGACAGAATGTATGGTTGTCAGCAAGAGGAAAGTGCCAAGTAAAGGAAAGCGAGAAGAAAGGACTAACTATCAACTGTAATAAGACAGAATGTATGGTTGTCAGCAAAGGGAACAGCCCAATATGCAAATTAAAAATTGGAGATACCAAAATCAAGCAAGTAAAAAAAAATAAATACCGAAGAAATGTTTTAACCCTAGAACACTAACCATCAATTAAAGTTACACCACTACTAACCATGGGTTACACCATTACTAACCATGGGTATATCATACCCGATTTTGAAAATATCAAAAAACATATTAAATATAAATCTTTATTTGAAATATTTTACATGCAGGCACTTCAAACTTTGTACTTTGAGTTAACATTAATAGGAACTGAAAAACTATTATTTAGGTAAGAAAATTAGGTACTGAAAATAGTAATTAAAAATAGGAAAATTTGCGCTGGGTACTATATACCCATGGTTAGCGTTCTAGGGTTGATAAGGATATCATTTATGTAATTGACAACACCGTCTAGTCCCGCCAACATCATATCCATTATTCACTGGAAAATATGTTGGGCTACTTTTACATGGAAGGGTAAACTTGTAGAGTCCTTTATGAATATTAATAATCAAAAGATTTTGGCTTTTCACATCTAACTCGATTTTAAGATATGCCTTAGAGATTTTATTTTTATTTTTTTAAATACGATCATTTAATTTGGCAAATATATCTGCTGGAGTTGGTAGGGGATATGTATGTAGTATTAGGCAGTTATTGAATGCAGTTGAAAAATCTACACGTAACCAAATGTTATTATTTTTCTTTTTTAGTATAAACCGCTAGCGTGTCCCATTCTGAGCAAACTATGTTTTCAATAACTCCGCGTTCTATGAGTTGACCAATTCGGTGCTAATAAACTCCAACACAGCAACCAAAATTTAGTGATTTTAAAAGTTTTTAATTTATATTGAGTTTAAAGTAACACAAAAACTTTGTGAATTTAACCCTAGAACACTAACCATCAATTAAAGTTACACTACTACTAACCATGGGTTACACCACTACTAACCATGGGTATATCA